TTTTTCTGCAAAACACAGGACTTTTTGGAGACAGGGTTTCAGTATGCAGTTCATGCCGGCCTTGAACTCACTTCGTAGCACAGGCTGGCCTCAAACTCAGTGATCCCCCTACCTCCGACCTCCAGTGTTGGGATTACAGGTGTGTGTGGGGCTTCATTTGGTTTTCTAAAATTCTATTATAAAGCAATTTTTTTCTTTCTTTTTTTCCCTGCATGTGTGGCCAGGGAGATAGCTCAGCAGCATAAGCACCTACCTGGCAAGTGCAAAGTCCTGAGTTTGATCCCCAGTGCCAAGAAATAAAATAAAAGCCAGATGTGTGGAGTACACTTGTAATCCTAGCACTCAGTTGATGGAAGCTGGACCATAAGAGTTTGAGGCCAACATGAACTACATACTGAAACCAATTTATTTCAATTATGTGTAAAAAATTATATATAGGATCCATGACTAGCACAGACTACATAAAATTCATAACATCAGATAACTTTATCAAGTTGTCCCATGAAAAGAAATAAAATGGTATTTACTGGTGGCTAATGTTAATACATGGATGGACTTAGCTTCTGGTCTGTTAAAATATTACCAGGGGCAGAGTTTCAAAAGGTTACAGTATAATAGGTGGCTGAACAACCAGGGATCAGACTTCATTCGGGATGACACTCATCAGTGAAGCTAAGTTTACCAGCAAGTTCTAGTTTCATATTCTTTCCCTCTAGGTCACTATACTGATTTTGTCTTTCTTTGATAACAGCAAATTCAACTTAACCTGTCTTAATAATAGATGGCATTGATTAGCCTAGGTAACAACAAAAAGTTAAAGGCAAGGTACTTAACCAAGTGTGGTTCAACTAGGCTCTGGTTTAATTTTCAGGTTATTTTGGCTTTGTCCTATGTATTGGCTTTATCCACAAATTGGCAACAAGGGAATGCTAAGACTCTAGTTCCTACACAAGAGACCTTTATCTCTTCCTTCAGAATGAGGAAACAGCCACCTTTTTTTATTTTAGTATTTTAGGGAAGGGTCTACAGAGTGTTCAGGGTCTCACTACTAGATAGGACTCGCAGTGATCCTTCTGTTTACAGCCTTCCAAGAGCTGGGATTAGATGGATTTTGAGCCATCATGCCTAAGTCTCAATCACCATCTCAGCACACCCCGGGGGCGGGAATGGCACAACAAGCCCAGGGATCAAACCTCCCGCCCCTGCTTGCAGGCACTTTAATCCACTAAACTATTCTCCTGGCCCTGAAACAGCCATTTTGAAGGCCCTCCAATATAGCTCTTGCTTTTCACTGTGTTACGTGCTAATCCCAGCCCAACTCCTGTGGCCAGAGTAATATAATACAGTAGAATTGGTGTATTAAAAAAAAAAAAAAAAAAAAAGAATTGATGTAAAGACAAATTCCTAAACAACTTCTGCTACATTAATGGCATTATATTCACCAGCATTTTCTTTTTCTTTTGAGAGGTTTTCCTATGCAGTTCAGGCTGGTCTTGAACTACAGAGACCAAGCTGTCCTGAACTCAGTGAACCTCCTGCCCCAGCCTCCTGAGTGCTGGGATGTCAAGCATATGCCCAACTGCCCAGCCACACCAGCATTTTCAAATGGTGAGTTAAAACCAAAAAATGCATCCAAAGTTAACTTGCAGATTGTTCATGTTCTTTACCAAATTAAACAGAAAAACTGAGATTGCATTACACATATCAAGGATAACTAGTTTTATGAACCGTGAACACACACACTTGTATTAACAATGTCAAATGTTTTTTGTGGTCTGGGGTCAAAAGTATTTTGAGAACTATTTCAGTCACATTCTACTGACTCAGCTAGTTGGAACTCAGTATTTTAGTTCCCCCTTTAATGCTTTCTGAACGTTAAGTATGCCTTCCTTCCAAAGAAGCTCCTTGGGCTACCTGATACATATCCATGATGGATATAAATTTATATCCAATTTGTAAGCTGGTTTATGACAATTCATTACAGTAAAAGATTCATTGGAAAAGCCTGTATATTTTTTGTTTTTGAACTATGAAGTTCACACTGGCCTTGAAGCCATCCTCCTGCTGAAGCCTCCTGAGTGATGGGACTGCAAGCATGTGCCACCATGCCCTGCTACCAGAAAGCTCGTTTTGTAAGAAAAAAATATCTTTCAAATAGCTGAGCACTTTTGACGCTAATCTTTATTCAGGTTTAAAATTTGAGGGGCCAGGGAGATGGCTCAGTGGGATAAGCGCTTTCCTGGCAAGAGCAAGGGCCTGAGTTCAATCCCCAGTTCTGCCAAAAAAAAAAAAAAAAAAAAATAAAAAAATAAAATAAAATTTGATCTTGAGGTTCATATGATAAGGCAGCCTATAAAGATTACATGGCTGGGAGCTGGGCTGGTATGGCATGGCATGTGGTGCCAGGGACTGAACTGCTGTCCCTGAGCTTTGCATAAGCAAGTACATTAAGACCACTGAGCTATCTCACTGACCCTAATCCCTTTGATTTAATAAATGAAGACACCAAGGCTTGGGGGGGGGGGTGAACTTATCTACTGTAAGGCAGTGCATTACCTGCAAAACATGAGTCTGCTGATACTTCAGAATTTTTTCCATTGTGCTAATCAGCACTAACTTTAAAATTGGAACTAGACTTACCTATCATCCAACAAGCTCTAGATCTACTTTTTTTTTTTGCGGGAACAGGGGATTGAACTCAGGCCCTTGCGCTTGCCAGGGAAGTGCTTATTCCACTGAGCCACCTCCCCGGTCCCATCTAGATCTACTTTTAAGTGCTAAAGCCCCATTCTCACTAGCCATGTAATCTGTAACAGTTTTGGTAAGTGAACAACTCAAATCAAGTTGGGAATGGTCAGAATTAAAGAGGTTTAGTAATGGATAAAAGGGTCCAGCCAATTCAATTGGACTTAAATGCAAGAACCTGAACTCCCAGAGGTGGTTAGGAGAAAAGGACTGAAAATTCAAGATTTTATAACTCAGGAGGGTGATATCCTGGACAGGATATAGGCTCAAGATCAATAACTGGATATTAAACCTAGTTATCAGACTCTAGATACAAGCCAGACACAAACATGGCATTGGACATCTCAAACTAAGTCATTTTACTTTTTGCTTTCTTTTTGACAGGGTCTTGCTTTCTAAGTTCAGGGTGGCCTTGAAGTTGTGGTGCTCCTTCTGCCTCAGTCTCCCAAGTGTTGGGATGATAGGTGTGCATCACCACACTTGATTGTGGTTTTTAGAGACAGGGTCTGCCTGTAGCTCAGGTTGGCCTTGAACTCACTATGTAGCCCTGGCTAACCTGAAACTCATGGTGACCCTCCTGCCTCAGCCTCCTGAGTCCTGGGATCATAGACGTTTCACCATAGCCAGTTCAAAGGTCATTTTAAGTTGTAGCATTAATAGACAAAAGTATTTTGTGTGTGCAAAATTACAATGCATCTTCTTAGATAATTTTATTTGAAACATTTACTTTATACTCTCATATGAAAACGGTACTACTTCAGAGTAGATGGTTAATGTTGGGTGAACTTTGGGGAGTGGAGAGGATTTGAGATAGGGTCCTGCCATGTAGCCCAAGCTGGCCTTGAACTTGCAGCAATCCTCCTGCCTCATCCTCCTGAGCGCTGATATTCTGAGTGCATCACCAAGCATGACAGTTGGGTGGATTTAGAAAACACAAGATTTAGATTATAGTGATTATAATCACAAGTCACTATTTGTTTCAAATTACTACTTGATACTCGGTAAAGTCTTAAGGCAATAACTGAGTAAATTTTTGTGACTTGACTTCATATTACTTAATCCTATAGGACTATTGTAAAGATTACTGCTAACATATAAAGCATCTACTAAGGCATCTAACACAAATAGATGCTCAATAAGGTGAGAAGAGCACAGCAGCCTGGTTTGATCCCTGGTGTGCTGTGCCAGGCCTGCCCCTGGGGCACACTGAGACAATGACTGAGACTGGGCATGGTGGCACGCACCTATATTCGCAGCTCTTAGGAGGCTGAACACAGAGGATCACTGAGTCCTATCTATGTAGTGAGACCTTGTAGACACTGTGGACTCTGTACCAAATACATTTTTAAAAAAGTGACAAATGTGTTAAAACATAGATGTAAAATGCTTAATTTCACTACCTCAGATTAGGACAGGTCGAATGGCCTGAATGCCATCAAAGAATAAAAATTCATGAAGTGTGCAATCTAGTTTAACTGAGACATGGTTGGGTATGACTGAAGACATTTTGTACATGTATTTGTGATCACCCTGTTAGATTTACATACATTCTCAGTTAATCTTCACAGTCTTTCAAAGGAGATCTAATTTTACAGATCAGATAAATGAAGTTCAAGAAAGTTCAGAATGAGATACTCAATAGCTGGCTACGGTGGAATGGGCACTTGACCCGAACCTTTCTCATTCTACCACATTCTGCCTCCATGAAGCATTTCTGTACTCCAAAATATGAGACCAATTTCTACAAGTGGGATTAAAGAGACAAAAGTTACATACAGGAGGCCTTGACTTTGGGAGTGACAAAAAATGTTTTGAGTTGGTGACTAGTGTTTTATACTGTGATTAGGCAAATAAGGCCAGGTCAGAAGTTGGTTAGAAGTCTTTCACTATATTCCAAGAATAATGGTAGGAGTTTCAGTGTAATCATCTTCAAGTGTTGTACAGAAAGATCCCATGAATTTAGGTTACCATATATGTACACTGCAATATTCAATATAGGAACTAGAAAGAAAATATCTGAAAACATTTTTTATATTTCCCCCTTTTCAATAGTTTACCTTTCATTCTAAGACTATGACATTCCTCAACGACTTCCACATAATGGTACACTGGATTCTACTGGGTTAACTCAGCCAACAGAAAGAGGGCAGTGTTGGGTTCACAGGGTACTGTGCCCATTGTGGGACCGCTATTCCATTCTTTCCTGGTTCATCTACACCAACACTATTTTTTTTTTTTTTAAACATAGGTCATTTACTTTAGTGGAGCCTTTTGCTAGATAATGGAGACAAAGATCCAGATAAGAGTCTCTAAGTCCCATAAGTGAAAATGAGATGACCAGCATCCAGCATTGCAACAGACACCCCCTAAAATAAACAGTGTAAGATGGGGTCAAAATGGAAAGATACATGTAAAGAATAAAAATCTCTGAAAATAAGTGAAGTCAAAGTGTTGTAAAGCAAATAGGAATCTGTCAGAAAGCTAGATAGGAAAGAAATAGCTTTTTGAGACCTAGAAGCATGAAATGGTATGATATACTTAAGGAATGGCAAGAAGTTACATGTGATCAGAGGGCTGCAGGCCAAGCATGCCTAGAAAAATGGATAGGGATTAGATTCTAGAGATCCATTATGAATTTTAGTTTGGGGATTGTTTCCCAGTTAGGACTATGAAACTATGAAAATTACTGAAATTTTTTATCTTTTAGCTTCCTTAAAAACTTGAAATATAGTTTTAATCATTTTACTTAAAATTCCAAATACTACAAATGAAGTAAATCATCTTTTATTTTGACTTACATTTGGTTATCAAGAGACATGCAAAACTCTCTGCTTTTAATGAGAACAGTGTTTTTGTGTCTTTTTATCACATATCCTTTTAATATTAGGTGTAATGTTACTAAGACGGATCCGCATATGAGGTGCAGCATCAAGTCTTTTTCTATATTTTGTTTTAGTTGCAGCATAATATGAAAATCCCGTTTCACACAAGTGCATTGTAGCAAAAGGAAGAAGTACACGAACTGCACGCCTTGCTATACTTGGGTATTCTTGAATTAGGTTACTCCAAAAATCATTCAGTGACAGTTCACTGAAATTTTGTTTCACTTGAGAATCAGATGTTAAGTCAATCAGGCTCTCATAATCCCGTGCTACTAATGAGGCTGGTTTAACAGTTACTGTAAAAGGATTTCTAACCCAAGTGTTACTGTCATTTGTTACGGGAAAGTACTTTAGAAGGGTAGAGCGCAACCCTCTCAAGTGCTGCACAACTGCACTGCAAATATCTTTATCAACTGTAGAATTAATTTCAGTCAAAAAGTCACTGAGTGTAGGAAAACAATCAAAGTTTTCTTCTTCTACAGATGAGGCCCAAAATTCCAATTTTCTTAACAACGATGACATTTTATCAAACACTGTAAAAACAGTTACATTTTTTCCTTGCATTGACAGATTAACCTCATTTAATTTAGTAAAAATATCCGCAAGATATGCAAGTCTTAGCAGCCAAGATGAATTTGTTAAACAATCAGATAGTGGAAAAGCAGAATCCGTAAAGACCAATAATTCACGCCGAAGTTCAAAAAGTCTTACAAGAACTTTACCTCGGGTAAGCCACCTTTCCTCTGTATTTAGAAGAAGTGCTGTGTGCTGAGCACCCATTTCTTCACATAAAATTTTTAGTAGTCTGGATTGATGTGGTCGAGCTTTAATATAATTGATGATTTGTACTGCTTGGTTTAGCACATTTTTAAGAGACGTAGGCATTACTTTAACTGCTAGTGCATGTCGATATAACAGGCAGTGACTGCTGGTGCTTTCGGGAGCCACGTATTTCATCAAGGTGATGGCCTCGGCAATTTTCCCATCTGTTGCCCTAGAAGCATCGCTACAAACATCAACACATTTTTCCCATTCAATTTCATGTTTCTGCATAAAACTGTTGATACAATTGAATATTTCTTCACCTGTAGCATTACTTTGCAAAGATTCACATAAGAGTAGATCTTCCTCAATAGATTTATTGAACCTATAACGAATAAACACAAGCAGCACAGCAAGTCCTGAAACATCAGCTGATTCATCTAGCTGAAGTGAGAACCCATCACAAATTTTCAGTCTACAAACCAGCTCTTCTTCAATGTCAGCAGCTAGATCCTTAATTCGACGTGCAACAGTACTGTTTGAAAGCTGCACTGCATCTATTTTCTTACTATACTGTTCATCAAACATCCGCATCACTACATCTTTTGCACAAGGTTTAATAAGCAATTCTCCAATAGTATGAGCCTCTCCACTCAGGGCTATATGGTAACTTACATTGTATGACGCCTCTGTAGCACTTTCATTATCTGTATTGACAATTTTAGGTGTTGGGGGTTTATTATTTTCAGGTGAATCAAGATGCTGCTTGAAAAAGCTAATGTCTTTGTCTTTATATGCAGCATGTTTAGTTTCCAAATGTCGTCGCAGCTTACTGGGGGCTAAAGAGCTATTTGATAAGATTTTTTTACATAATACACACTGAGCATGAGGTGCATCTCTATTTCCAAAATAAGTAAATCCAAAAGACAAATAACTTTCATCATATTTTCTCCTTTTTGGTTTCTTACTAAATGTCATTTTATTGGAACCAGACATAAATGTGACCCTGGAAAGTTCAGTGTCTGATTTTTTAGAAACTGATGGCTGCAAATGTTCATCTTCACTTTGTAATATTCCAACTTTTTGGTTATTTGAGTCAGACACAATTTGGTAACAAAATGATTCTACTTCTTGTTTAAGGCTTTCTTGCTTCAGTAAAAGATCCACGGGCAAAGAGTTTGTGGTACAAAACATGGTTAGTTTATAATAAAGACTGAATATTACAAATATGTTGAAATTATAAGACAGGATACAAAAAGGCGATCAGTTAATCTGCAAATGCTGCCTATGCATCAATGCGTGGAAGGAACATCACACGTTCGCTTATCAGGTGATCTCTCATGTGACTTGCTGGTGCTCTCAGGTATGGCACACCTTTCTTAAAGGCAGATGATCACACAAAAACAAAGCTATAGAAATGAGTCTTAAACTTATATTTAATAAACAATAAAGAAACTTAGCATCAATTTCTTTCTCAAAACACTTATTAGAGTACTAATATGTTATAAAAAAAGCTGAGAACCATTAGGCTAAGAAAGAGTTGATAAACAGATTTTAGGGAAAGAATGTAATTAGGAATATTTGAAAGCTGCACTGCATCTATTTTCTTACTATACTGTTCATCAAACATCCGCATCACTACATCTTTTGCACAAGGTTTAATAAGCAATTCTCCAATAGTATGGCAAGGGCTGGCAAACATTTTGCAAAGGGCTGTCTAGTTGGCTTTGAGGTGATACAGTCTCTGTTGCCTTATTGAAATCTTTAAGTACAGCATTAACAGCAGCCATAAGGGTAGGGTAAAGAAAAGGTGTGGCTGGGTTTCAATAAAACTCTATGTGTGCAAACAGTACAGGTCATAACCTCATCTGAGGTAGTGCGATGGAAACTTGCAAACTTTTAGCTTTTTGATGCCTACTGTCATTAGATGGATTAAGTATTGATACTATTATATGTCCTAAGTCTCCCTTCACAGGTGGCCACAATTCTAATGAGCTATATTAAAAACCCACAAAGTTCTAAGTGTTAAAAAACAGAATTCTATTGTATCTTAAATATTATGTGTTAATAATGAAGAATGAATAATAGATCAAAAGTTAGGTACTATTTCTCTGGACTTAAAAATTGCAGATGCTCACAATAGTTTTTACTTTTCTTTTTTTTTGGCAGAACCGGGGATTGAACTGAGGCCCTTGCACTTGCCAGGAAGGTGCTTATTCCACTAAGCCATCTCCCTGGCCCCATTATTTTAAGACTTATTGAAAGACTTACATATTTTTACTACTTATTTTGCATTCTATTTTACTACATAAGACTTAACTGGGACCCTAACAAAACATTAAAGTTCTTTTTAAAAAAGATTTTTTTCCTGATATACTAAAAAGTATAATAAAAACAGTAATACAAGCTCAAAAATCTCTAAGGAATGCTATTTTTTATATATATTCTTTTGCTAACTGGTAAAACGGTAAGATACCTGAAATGAGGAGCACTCCCTTCTGCAATCGCACCCTCCACTTTAGCAGCTTGAAAAGTAGACTCTTCAAAAGAATAAAATTAAAGGATGGGCTGGGAAGGGGAATAACCACAAGCCTAGAATGAGAAAAATTAAAATCAGACATTGCCACAAATAGGACTAACTACAAAGCTCTAAGACAACCAACCATGCATCACAACTTACTGGTAGTGCAAGTGAATCTTACTTGGGGTGCAACTCTTACACTGAAGCAGAAGACGCATAGCTTCTAGTAAAGTAAAAATGCTGCACTTTCATCCTGGTTTAATACTTCACAATCTTACTGCTTTGAAACGCTTCCTTTTGCACTGACTTCAGAGAAATGTAGAAAACTTTCTGAAGCTAAACCTAAATTCTGAAAGTACAACCCCATTTACTGTCTCTAAATGCAGCACTGAACTAAAATGAATTGTACATGGAAGCATTAAAGGAAATATACTTTTGGCTGTAACCAGTTTTGTCCCCTCAAAAACCAACCTCCTAAAAACCAACTTCCTAAGACAACTAAGGTTTATTGAGTAATCCCACGTGCCTGTAACTGTGCACAATTCCGCGTATAGATTAGTTTATGTAAACAAAACCTTGGGATACTAACAACTCCACTTCAGAAAAAACACAGAGATTAAATCACCTCCTAAATGAACATTATCTTTTAAGAAACAAGCACACTGCCCGAAATGTCATCGCAGAGCTCACGTGCCTAGTCATTACTTGTGTGTTCCTCACCATTCTATTCCCAAACTTTAAAAAACACACACACACAAAAACTGGTATCAGGAATTGGGATTAACGACGGGTTACAACTGCCAGAAAAAGAAAAAAAAAAAAATCTCTTATCGGTCTCAACTTGGACTTGACAAGGTAACTTTGCGCTGACGCTGACTCAGCTAAAGAATTAGGATTTCTCTCCCTCACCGTCGGCAAGCTTCGTGTGCCCAAGGAGGGCCTCATCTTCAGAAGAGTTTCGCCAGTCTCTTGGGGACAAATCGTCGGTGTTCCCCGAGGAGACTCCCCCCGCCCCCGGCTCCCGAGAAGGAAAGGCGCTCCTCATCCCCCTTCCCTCGCTCTTTCCCCTTATGCCGCGGGTACCTGCCTCCAGGCGCACGGCGCGCTAGGGAAGGGTCGGAGCGCAGCCAATCACCGGGGCAGCCCGGCCACACCTCGGGGCTTCCCTCCCGGGCCGCCCCAGCCAAGCCTGACCTGCCGCCCCTCGGCTCCTCCCTCAAACGGGTCCGGGCCGGCATCCGGCCGCGGCCCACCCTCGCTTCGGGGTTCCCATCGCGTCCCCCGACGGTCGCCGCCGCTAAGGCCCCCAGGACACCTCCTCTGCACCCCACGACTTCCTGCTCTCTCCGCACGGGCTTCGGAGAGCGCGGGCCGGCGCGGCTGGGCTGCCCGTCAGCGCCACGCTGCCCACCGAGCCCGCGGCCGCCATTTTAGACAGCGGGAGGCGGCGGCCATTTCGGGGAGCGCCGCCTGGCCGCGCCCACGGCTCTGCTCCTCACCTTCACCGAGGCCTGAGCAGGGTGAAGAGCCAGTCGTCGCGGACTGGAGGAGGAAGAAGGGGTAGGGGGTGAGGAACGAAACAGCGGGAAGAATGGTGCGGGGACAGGGTGGTGCTCTCAGCTCGGGGACACCGCCTGAGCCACGTCCATTGAGATCCGAGTCGCCGGGGGCGAGCCCTGGGTCTGAAGAGAAATTTAGCTCTGTGGCGCAACCGAACTCGGGGCTGCGGGAGCGTCCGCCGCCCTCCAATCAACGCCCGCGCTGCTTCCCTCCACCAATCCGCGCTAAGCGGTGGGCGGGACCAAAGCAAAAACTCAAGTTCGGTGGAGGCGTCGCTGCCCGGGCTCGCGGCTGTGTTCGCGAGCGGTTCTCTCGCTGCGGTGCGAGGCTACTCCTCTAGCTTCTCCGGCCCTCGCCGCCCGGGCGCCGCTTTCGAATACAGACCCTGTGTGCTGCCAGCGAGACTCGGTGACCCTGTGAGGCCACCGCGGAGTCCACGGTCCGCGTCCGTGCCGGCGGTCAGGCTCTGCCCAGCGCGGAGGCAGGGGCCGCGGAGCCTTCGCTACCGCTTTGTCCCCGGGTCGTAGCCCCGGCCGGGGTCGCGCGGCCGCCGCCTCTGTCCTCTGGTTTACCGTCGCCCGACCCTGCCCCGCGCGCTCGGTGGCCCCCAGCTTGGGAGTTGTCGGCGAGGAAACCGCAAAGCCCCGCCATCGGTCCGCTGGGAAATTCGCAGACTGCAGCATTAGGGAACTCTAGTCCATTGATCCGCCGCCTCCCTTTTATCCTTTGTATTTCTTAATTAATGCATTTATTTCGGCTTTTTCAAACAGGGTCTAGATATTCAGTTTAGGCCTTGAACTCACGGTGTATAACCCAGGCTGGCCTCAAGCCGGCCGCGATCGTCCTGCATCAGCCTCCTGAGTGCCCGCACACCACCCCCGCGTGTGAAGGCTGCAGGTTCTTCGCTTGTGCAAGAGACGTGGAGACCTGGACTCTTTTTGCAAATTGATACCCAGGCTAAACACCCCTGGGGGTAGTAGGAACAATTTGTTAAAGTGCTGGTGACATTAAATACTTGTTTCCTTGGTCTGCAAGTGTTATATCTTGTTAAAATTCATTAAAACAAACGAAAAGTTGGATGTTTTTCAGGCACCGTACCAAGAAATGTAGAATTTGAGTCAAAAGCAATTTAAAAAGTGTTTGTTTGTTAGGAATGTTGTAGGTATTTAAGCTTCATACTTTTTAATTTTAATTTTTTAAAAAAGATTTTATTTAATTTATTTATTTTTACATTTATTGTGTGTGTGTGTGTGTGTGTGTGTGTGT